ATGCAGTGTTAATAGGAGTCTCATACAGGGCTTTCATTCTTACTCACAGAGCCTGAGATTGTGTTGATATCCAAGTTGGTGAGAGGTGGGGGTCTTCCAGGAATTTAACCAATGAGGGAGTGGCCTCCCCACCTGCCCTGTCATCCTTTGCTCTGAAGTCCTGCCACGACCCCCTGCCGTCCCTTGGGTACCCTGTGGATCCTTGCCAGTGACCCCAGTGGGGCTTGGTCCAGTCCCCAGTCTGTCTTCTTCAGAGTCTGACGCAACCTCCTTTTGGGTCAGATGTTGCCACCGCTGCTGCAGTTTCTCGTCTTCTCAATGCTCTTCCCAGGGTCTCAGTGGCACCTGCATTGACCAGTCTGGGGCATACTGGGTAGGGAGGTCTCCTGCCTGCATCTGGCTCAGCCCCTAAATTGAAAGCAGCTGGGCCTAGGGGTCACCTGTAGGAATAATAATACTGGTCATCATTGTTATTATAGGTAGCATTTATTGAACCAACCATCATACTAATCAATTTACATGGAGTGTCCTATTTAGTCCTCACTACAGTCCTATGAAGTGTATGGTAGTATTATCTTCTTTTACAGAGAAGGGAAAAAGAAACTGCCAGGGGTTTCACAGGCAACAAGTAACAAAGCCGGGATTCAGACTAAGGCAGGCTGAGCCCAGAACCCATACCCTTCTTCCTTTTGCTGCTTTCACTCCCTTGGAAGTGTGGGAGACTCTAAGTGCCTGGAAGTCCCCGTGCGGGGAAGTCCCCCTGGCCAAAGCCCTGGAGTTCCCCAGGAAAGGGCGAGCTCTCATCAGAAATGGTGGAGGAGAAAGAGTATCCTGTGAAGGAAAGAGAAGTGGGGAGCAGGCACCCTGGCAGGGCAGTCCCTCTGTGGATATGGAAAAATGACACCTCCCAGCTTCTGAGCAGAGCTGTGTCCTCCAGGGTCCTGGCTGCACCCTCCAGGGATCTATATCCAGAACTTGACCTTCCAGGCTAAACCTGCCCGGGGCCATGGAGGTTTGGTGTGTGTCTGGCTATCTTGTGAGGCCAAGTATGAAAAAGAATTGGAGAAGGAGGAGGAACATGGGGAAATGGTATCAGGCCATCATCATCAACAACTACTTTACTTCATTCATCCTTTAGCCCCGAGTGAAATTGCCATGAGTTGTTGGGTTGTGGTATGGGAGACAGGAGGACAATGGATGACCATCAGATTTCCACGATCCCAGTTCTTAAATTCTCTGAGATCAGCTCTAGGTACCAGCAAGTGCCCACTGCCTGGGGTCATGGATGGACACCAAGAGCATTAGTAACTCACAGCAGGCATCCTGCCCAGCTCCTCCTCCATGCACCACCAAGCCGCTGTCAGGGAGTAGTGATTTTCCATCACTTGCTGCCTCAGCTAAATTTGCACCAGTGCCCTAGGGGTCAGAGGCTCTGGGTAACAAAGACAGAAACTCCCCAAGCCCATCCAGTTATCTCTCTCAGCCAGCCCCACCCCTGGGGTTCCCTTAGTCAAGAGCCCATCAGCCCTCAAGCCAGAGCCACCCACAGGCCCAGTGAACTCACAGAAGCTTTTGCTGCAGTAAACTAGGAGCAGCTACTCTGAGCTGCTCAGCACCTTTCTAGACTTTTCTTGTAGGTGATTGTACACCACCTCTCAGCTACTATCCAATCTTTTCCATTGTGATCATACTCCAAACCTTCCTTCCAACTCTTGGGAGATGACCTTGCCTTCTGCTTTGTTGAGATAAAAACCGTAAAAGCTCCTTTCCAAAGCTTTGGTCACCTGAAAATATGCCATCTCTGGCTAACACTTCCCTGGAGTCTGCACTCCATTTTTCCTTGTTCTCTCTTGCTCTGTTAATCATCCACAGGCCCTAAGGCAATTTCAGTCTCTTCCTCTTCACTGGTTCTTCCTCCTCAGTCTACAAGCTTATCCAGGTCTTTCCTACCCAGGAAGTCCTTCCCTCCACTTAGCTACCCATTCCATCCTCCACCTTCCACACTTTCCTGTCCTTTCCTTTTCCAAAAACTTCTGAGGCAATACTCTCCGTTTACCGCCCTGCCTCGCTTTCCTCCCTATGCATTCTCTAACCTTGTTCTGTCTGGCTTCTGCTCCAGTTGCTTTGCTGAGACTCCTCAAAGCCATTAATGGCCACCAGAATCCCAAATCTGTGCCTCTTCTTGTTCCCAATTCCCTTCAGTCTCCATGTTGCTGTTGGCACTGCAGGTTGTGTTTTTCTTGAAACATTCTTCTCCATTGACTTAGGTGAAACTGACCTATCTTGGTCTGCCATTTCCTGTGCAACCAATTCTCTGACTCCTAGGCAAGGTCAGTTTCTTTTCCCAGTCCCTGGAAGTAAATGTCCTCCAGTATCCACTCCTTAGGCCTCTTGTCTTTTAAATACTCCTTTCCCTGGTCCCTGACAGTCTCCTAAATCCATACGTCTTTGCCTGCTGATGCAGGGGCGTTGCACCTGGATGCTCCTCTTTCATCTCAAATGCTGCACATCCAGGACCAACACTACCACTTCCCTCCAAAACCAGTCACCTCCCTACAGCCTTATTCCTGATCTGCTGATGTAAACTCCACCAAGCTTCCAGTTACACAAAACTGAGGTTGTAAAGCCTTGGTTGACTCCAGTTGGTTGCCAAACTCCAGCCATTCTGCCTTCCTCTTGTCTCGCAAATTCTTCCCTTTCTTTCCTGAGACCAGCTCCATATCGCCTCATGCCTCATGTATATGTATGTTGCTTTACTGGGATCTGTTTGTACAGATACCCCCTCGTTTAGAAATCACTCATGGTTTAAGACCCTCTAAACCTGGTTCCTACATGTTGGGGGCAGGATGACAAAGTAACAACAAGCATAGATTTTAGAGGCTGCGTTCTGAGTCTGCCCTAATTGGTACCGTGATTTTTTTTTTTTTGAGACGGAGTCTTACTCTGTCACCTAGGTTGGAGTGCAGTGGTGCAATCTCAGCTCACTGCAACTCCTGGGTTCAAGCAATTCTCCTGCCTCAGCCTCCTGAGTAGCTGGGATTACAGGCGCATACCACCACGCCTGGCTAATTTTTGTATTTTTAGTAGAGACGGGGTTTCCCAGTGTTGGTCAGGTTGGTCTCGAACTCCTGACCTCGTGATCTGCCTGCCTCGGCCTCCCAAAGTGCTGGGATTACAGGCATGAGCCACCGCACCCAGCCAGTAGTGTGATCTTGACTGAGCTACTTAAACTTGTCTCAGCTTTGGTTTTCAATTTGCAAAATGAGGATAATAGTCTCTACTTTGGAGGTGGTTGTGCGAATTAACAGTAATATATATAAGTCATATAAATTGTGTATAATATTGGCACATAGTAGATGTTCAGTAAGTGGAAAATGGTGATGGTTCTCATCACATCCAAGTGTTCACCCTTGTTTCCTCTTAGTCCTTTGCCTGCCTCCACTCTTTCTGGCTGACCGCTCTGGGCATTAACCCAGAAGGCAGCAGATTCGCATGGCTTCTGCTTCCACCAGCTTGTGATGCCCTCCCCTCTACTTCTTTGTTCATCTTAGGATCAAGTTATTTTTTACTGGGGAAAGAGACAGTGGAGATCCTGTAGTCCAACCCCTTCATCTACAGCTGAAGAAACTGAGGCCCAGAGAAGTTGAGAGATGAGACCAAGGCTATGTGGCTTCTTAAATGCAAAATCAGAAGCAGGACTCAGGGCCCCTGCCACGTAGCCCAGTGTCCTTTCCGCCATCCTCTGTGCCTCTGATTTCAGCCCTACTCGGCTTTGAAGATCTACATCAATTTCCCTGTCTTCAGCGACTTCTTCCCCAGTTCCCTCTCCTGCAAGGGGAATGGTTCCTCCGCTCCAACTTTCCAGCACTAACTACCTGATTCCCTCTGGTAACTTAGCTTTTTCAGGGGTTAAGTCTCCCCTCCCCACCTTCATATCCAGCACTATGAGCTGGCTTATCCCAACGCCTGCAAGTGTTCAGGAAAAGCTTTTAGAGCTGACTTGGTTCATGGTTTGTGACTCACCTGGCTGGTTGAGGTGAGCTTGGCTCACATGCCTCTCTGTGGGGAAGAGCAATGCTATCAGAAAAGTGGCTTCCAAAGGCCCCTCATTTGACCAGTGGGTTGGGGGAGCATTCCTCAGTCTTGACCCTGGGACTGGTCTTTGGCATCACTGAGCCCTGGGTTTTTCAGATCCCTGAAAAGCAGGCTCCTGGAATGTTTGATTTGGCCCCTTCTCCCCAAGATGTACAGGGAGGGCACCAGACCTTTCAATCAGGCTGGCGAAGAAGCCGCAATCCAAGTAAGAACCTCAGAAAAGGAGGCCAGCAAACCAGCCAGCCATATGGGAACAAGGCTCTGACTTGTTTGAGGGCAGTAAGTGGGCTCAAGAGGAGGTTGTTCAGGACCTGACATCTGGCAAGGGGATTGTGTGCTGTGTTGGAGTCCTGGGGACAAAAGGGTCACCTGTGACCCAGCCCCTCCCTGGCTACTTCTCATTCTTTCAGGATATGGGGAAATCTCATCCTCTCAACTCTGAAGGACTGTGATACAGCCCCAAGTAGGAAAGCCAGCTCCAAAATGATCTCAAAACCCAGGAGGTCCTGGTACCAGGAGGAGATGCGTGTGTGGTTGAGGAGAGAAAGATGGACAACAAGCCACCAGGGCAGTCCTCACCCTGCAGAAAGAGAAAGAATGCTGTGCTCACTGGGTCTGCTGCCCTGATCCTTGCTACCAAAAATCAAACAATAATGTGGGTGATGCACATAGCAGGACATAAGGCAGGCTGCATTCACCCAGAGCTACATTAGGTTGGATCTGCAGAGCCAACAGAAGGAAAACCCTGTGCCTTGCACCAGTCAGTGAGGGCAGGGACGCAGGGAGCAGATGGATGAGGAAATCGCTGAGGAACTTGGGAGAGAGCCCCTTTGCAGGGCTGGGCTGGAATTGGCTGGGATAGGAGTGGGCATATGATGTGTGATGCTGTTGTGACGCTGTTGCAGAATCATCCGGACCAAAGTTCAGCAACCTTTCCACCCAACGCCGGATGGGTCTGGGACAGGAGTGACCGCCCCTGGCCACACCATTGGTAAGAGGGCTCAGGGAAGGGGAGGAAGCCAGATCCCACCTAGAGAAAGGCAGGAAATGCAGCTCCACCCCTGGGAACTGCCTGCCCGGTTGAGGTTCAGGGCCCATCTTATTTGCCAACTCCTCTCGCCTGAACTCCTGTCCACATAGGGTCTCCCTGAGAGATACTGGTTTACTAGGATTGTTCTTTGCCTCCCACCTTTGTCACCTCCCTCTTCCCTGCTTTAGTCAGTCCCTATCCTCTCCCCTCCTCTCCTCTCTCTAAGTGTTTTCCTTCTAGCATTTCTTCTTCTTTTTCTTCTTCTCCTCCTCCTGCTTCCCTCTCCCTCCTTCTCTATCATATTTTATTTTTATCTGATTCTGTCTCCCTACCTGTGCCCTCTTTCTTTCATAACAACTTTATTATTCCATCTTTGTTTAACATTCCCTCTTGTTCTTAACATTGTCCTTCTGTCTTCTCCCCTTGCCTCCTCTTCTTTTCTCCCTCTGCCCTTCCCTCTCTTCTCTCTTAGGTGTAGCTCTGGCTCTGTTCTGTCTCCCTCCTTCCTCATGGCCTCTTTCCTCTTGGCCTTTCTCTCTTGATTGCTCAACCTCTGTCTCACCCACTCTGTATCTCTCTTCCTCTCTCCATCCTCCTCATTCTTTGAGCCATGCTTAGGGCCTCTCGAAGACGTGACCCAGGCCTACTAGAACACCTGCTAACACTCCTCCTCTGTCCCCAGCGCACATAGACTAGCTTCCCTCTGGCCCAAGGAGAAACTTGGTGCTACTGTAGCCATAGATGAGACCTGGAGTTTGAGGGGCTGGGATGTGGTTACATTTTTCCTGCTGCTCCTCTTGGCAGTTGTCCCCTTCTTTCTTGACCAGCAGGTAATAGAAATGGCTAGTTCCAGCCCTCCAGGAGTTGGCAGGAGCTGTTGTTTACTAGGCCAGTGTTACAGTGTGTGCTGGGAGGGAGGGTTGGGCCAGGTTGTACCTGAGTTGATCACCATGGAGTGAATGGGTTCACTAATCTGTGCCCTAAGGGGGAAATTAGGAGTTTCTCAAGTGATTTCAAGACCAAAAGCAGCTAAGAAAGAGAATTGCACACTCCTGGGGAACATCAGGACCAGTCTTGTGTCCCCTAGAGAATCAGAGACAGATCTTAGAAAGCCACAGACTTTAAATCAGGATTGGTAAAGACTCAGTCCAGGAGACTGAGAACAATGAGCTGGGTCTTCATTAGAAGGGTTTGCCCAACTCCAGGGACTGGATGAGCTGTGCAAGGGGGTATCCAAAGAGCTGTGCTCTCTAGAGGACCATGGAGGTGCTGCCTAGATGGAGACAGCTTTGGTGTTTCCTGGGCCTGTACTTCATCCATCTTTAGGATAGTGACTTTGAGAACCCCAGTGAAATCCACAGGTCTGCAGAGAAGGCCTGGGGTTGACTGGGCACCACTTACCTCAGGGCTGGACAGAAATGAATAATAGCCTGTACGTGGCAATGCAATCCCCTCTTAAATAGACCCCAGAGGAAGTAGAGGAACAAGAGGAATGTGGGCTCCTTATCCCTCCTTATGTCCTCTGCTTCTCTCTGCCCCCTAGCCTTGGGGCTTTGGCCTACGATCACAACTGCTATCCTGATGCCATTTCCTCCTTCCTTTCATCCAGTTCCCAGCACGGCCTCCCCTCCTGTTTCCAGCGCCTCCAATGACCCAGTGGGATCCTACTCCATCAATGGGATCCTGGGGATTCCTCGCTCCAATGGTGAGAAGAGGAAACGTGATGAAGGTAGGGAGGAGGGAAGAGGTGTGGCTTCCCCTTCGCATGCTTTGTCCTTGGACTCCAAGCTCCGGTTTCGGCCTGGCCTTGCAGCTGCTCTGCTGTAAGATCAATTTTAGTAGCAAAGCCCAGGTCCCCCCACACTGCCTGCTGGCTCCTGGAGAGAGGGAGGGTGGCTGCTGGTGAGGCCATCAGCTTCACCATCTGCTCAGCAGCCCAGGCTGCCTCACCTGCCACTAGGGCTCACCCTGTCGATCCTGTTGGGATGGAGAGGAGGAAGTAGGAGCCGTTTACCTTGGGAAGGTTTTGGAGTTGAGAACACCTGGTCTCTGACTTTGAGGATGAAGAGCCAACCACCATGTCCTTACATGATCCCAATCTGTCCGGAGTGAGGGTGATGTCATGTGCAGCCAACACAATTGTCCTTTCTCTTTAACACATGCACACACTGGTTCAAACCTCACAGGGGGCTGAACATGGGACCCCTCTCTCCTCTTCTTCTCCATGAGTAGAGATGCCACTCCAAATCCCCTAGCCCCCTCTCCCTCACCTCCCTGGAATCACCTCAAGATGCAGCCAAAGCCGTTGGGAGGGGTGTCAAAAGGGAATGGGGAAGGAAGAGGAAGGGAGAAGAAAAAGACATAAGGGAGAGTGAAATTGGGGTGGGGATAGGCCTGGGACAAAGTGTTTTCAAATGTCATGACATTGGTCTCTTAGTTACCATCTGGGTTTCTTCTGATGCGTGAAGCTGGGGCACAGAGCTGGCAGACCTAGACCAACAGAGACACCAGTGTCCCCGGCCTGCTTTCTGCCCCCATTTTCTCATGGTTCCCTCTGAAGAAGTGGTAACCTCCTGGCCTTCAGAGGATTTTAAGGAACATCTCCCAGAAAGAGACAGAATCCTCAGACAATGGCGTAAAGGGGTGACCATCTATCCCATTGGCCCCAGGACAGTCCCAATTTGCCTGTTGTCTCTGCATCTTGGCCAGTCAGCATCAGCGTGCCCTTTTCTCTTAGAAATGTCCTGTTTGGACAATAAATTATCTGGTCATTCCACACATAGACAAACCCTCGGTAGGGGAAGCCTAATGGAGTGAGAGGCAGAGGAAAGGGACAACGCTGAGCTTGCCTGGAGCCCACAGTCCAAGATCCCCGGCCTAGGCTGGGGAAGAGAGAGTGGGAACGCCTGGCCCCCAGCGGAAGGGACCGAAGCGTGGAGGAGAGCCTAGGCCTGGCAAGACAGTGATGACCACCTGGCGCTGGCCTCCTTCCAGAAGCCCTAATGGCTTTCGTTTCACAGGGAAACAACATGCGGCTCTATTTCTCCTTCTTCCAAAATATCCAAAAGCCGATTTGGCTGCCCACGGCCCCTTTACCGTTCACTAGAAATTTCATTGTGGTTGTTTGGCGGCAGCCCCTGATGGGCAGAGAGGTTGTGGGAAAGGCCCTAAGTCCCAATTCTCCCTGAGGCTCCCCATGCTCAGGCCTTGGCCAAGCTCCTTGGCACGAGTTCTTTTTGGTAGAATCCTCAAACCCTAAAGGTCTCTCCCTTAACCAGCGCCCCTGTGTTTTAGGGGTGAGAATTGTGACCCATGGGAGGCCACAGATGCCCCTCTGTAATCTCCTTTTCAGTCTGAGCTGTGGCCAAATGTGCCAACCTTGTGGCCAAGTATGCCCTCTGCTGCATGAGCTCCTGTGGGGCAAGAAAGGCGGGGGGGTGTGGAGGCCACTGGCATGAGGAGCTGTGGTCACCCAGGGCTGCACCTGGCTGCAGCCCAGAACAGAGTGCTCTCCTGAGCGGTTGATCGCCTTCATTGTTTCTAATCAGTTCAGTTCAGTGAACCTTTCCTGGACATCAGTTTCAAGAAAGGCTTGGTACTATAGGATCCCAAAGCAGAACAAGATATGATTCTTGTCCTTAAGGAGCTTACATTCTAGTGGGGCATGTTAAACATATGAGCCCCAAAGAGCAGATAGGCCATCAGATACCCTGTTGCGATGGAGATCTGGATGGCGGGCCACGGGAACTGGAGCTGGGGGAGGTACATGGCCGGAAGGGCTGCTCTTTGAAGAGGGCACAAGGGGATGAGGAGAATGTTCAGAACAATGGTAACCTGAAATTCTATCTGATGAATGAGCCTTGTGACAGAGGCCCTTTGACCAGCGCTGCAGGGCAGCTTTGGCAGGGATAGAGCACAAAGAGATGTGGTGGACAGTAAGGCTGAGGAGACGAGTTAGAGGGCTACAGGATAGCAGGCCAGGTCTAGACCATAGGAAGGAGTTTGGGCCTTTTTTTTTTTTTTTTTTTTTTTTTCTGAAGGCAGGGAGTAGTCCCAGGCAGGAAGGGGACAGGAGCAGGGGCTGGGTTTGGGAAGCTCATGCTCCAGCAGTGTGACAGTAATGCACCAGGGCCATGTTGCAGAGGCTGCAGTGGAAGTATTCAAAGCAAGAGACTATGGGGCCCCCAAGTTTCCTCTGGCTTGTTTACCTGCTGAGCCTATCAGGTGTCAAGGAAATATCAGAGGCTGCAGTCTTTTTGAGGCTGGTTCTCCTCCTCTTACCAACTCCTCTTAAGCAACCCCAGAGCCAAATGGAGTTGTATTTTCCTGAGAGTGGAAGCCAGGCTGGGGAGACCAGTTCTCCTGACCTCCCCCTCAATCCTGATCCACCAGCCCCGGTGGAAAAGGGAGGAAGGAGAAGAGTAAAGGTAAAAGCTGTGGCAACCCCTCCTCCCGTTTCCCCCACTCCTGGTTGCTTCTAAGCAGCCAGGCCCAGTTGCATTAGGGAGCAGCTCAGATGATTAAGAATAGGGGAGATAATTATGTGTCAAGATGATGTAGCCCAACTCTGCAGTCAGGCCAAGGTAACCAAAGCAGCTGGCAGATAATCACAGAAGGCAACTCAGGCATGGGCTGCAGACACCCAGTGTGTCCTTCAGTGACTGGGCCAGGACTTGCAACAAAGAGAGCTACTGATGGGGAACTGAGGGTGTTGGGGGATGGGGACGAGGATGCACATCAAAGGAGCTGAACCCAGAGATGGAGGGCTCATCTCCCTCCAGGAGACCCTTAAAGAACCCTCACCAGATTCAGCCCTCCTTTGGTCTCAGCACTGTATCTTCTGGGAGTGTCTTACCCTGAGGGCAAGCTGTGAACCTCTTTGTCCTCAGGAAGCTGTCCTCTTTTGCTCTGTGAGTACAGTTAAGGCCTATTCTTCAGCTCTCCCACCAATGTCCGCGGTGATGGGCATTGAGTGAGGACAAATCACTGCAGTGCGTGCTGGCGTTATTGGAGACAATCCTGTAGTAATTTATGGTGCTCTACAGTGATATTACCCAGAACATTATTGGCATTTAACTCAGAATATGGACAGTGTTATTAGTATCTGCAGCCATCATTTCCCTGGGGATATTAGGAAAGGACTGATCAGCTGTGACTCTGAGGAGAAAAACTGGCAGTGACTGTGAGCCTGTTTGAGACCCACCCTTCCCATACCAGCCTTTGAAATGTCAGAAAACACCCCTGACTTTCCTTTGAGAATGTGCTGGTCAAGAGGTTTTGACCCTCATCCCAAACCCAGGAGGAGCTCCCAGAATGAGACAGGTAAGACAGACCAGATGGATGAGAAGTTATATTCTAAAGAAGCACACCAGAAGACAGGCTGTCCACATCAAGTATGAGAAGGTAGAATCCCCGTTCATATCATGCAAAAATCCTCACTTCTTCTTAGCTGCAATTATGGGTATTGTAAGTTGTGTGGGCGATTTGCTGCTGTTGCCTCTACTGCATATGTTAGTGCTGGATTCCTAGGCCTTGAAGGAAAGCCAATTCCCTGAACACTGTGTAGGCGCTGGTTTATGTGGCTGGAGGAGAGAGATTTCTTGTATTTCCCTATCTGCAGTCGGGCTGAAAACTGGAAGTCCTTCCGCTGCCGGTTGCTTTGGCTGGGGCAAAACGTTGCTGTTCATTGATGGTGGTGTTGAAGCACAGGGCAGTTACATAACTTGTCCAAGAATCCAAATGAAGTCATATGGTAAGAGTCTGCTGGTCTGTGTGAGGGAGGTGTGTTGGGATCATCCTTTGAGGTGTAGAGACTGCGGGGTCGCTGATACTGCATTCCATTAGTGGGTGTCCCGCAATGGAATTGTGCGTTGAGTGGTGCCAAGCTGATGCGGTTGTGCGTTTGCAGGCAGGGCAGGCTGCATGGCTGCAAATGGCCGAGTCCTGTCACTGCCTTTAATAAACTAAAGCTCCCTTCTGCTTTGGATGAAGCTATAACTGGAAGAAGCAGTTTATTTCCTTAGTTAGTTACCATCCTAGAGGTCCCAAAGGTGTTGCTCAGGTTAGACTTGGGCAAATGAAGGGATTAAGCCATGGAAATGGGGAAGACCTGCCCTTGTCTGGGAGCCTGGCGAGGCAACCGAGAGGCTGCAGAAACTCCCCACCAGGAAGGAAGGCACAGGGTAGGAGTGAGCATGCCATCCCTAGAGCAGGGCATGGATGGGCAGTGGGGCTCAGTGGGAACGAATGTGGCCTCTGGAGTGAGCATAGTGGGGTCTGAATCATATTTTCTCTCACTAGTTGGGTAAGGTACCTAGCAGCTCGTAGCTCAATCTTCTCCTCTGTAAAATGGAGATGGTAATGGCACTTCCTTCTAGGGGACTGTGGAGGGATTCCATGAGATCATGAATTTGGTGTTGAGGCTGGCACCATCTTGGAAGTGCATCCTTGTGTACCTGGGAAAGCCTAATTGGCAGGTTTGTATTGTTTCCTTGAGGAAATGAAGTTGTGTTAGAAAGAAATTTTATCTGGGCACAGGTGCCCTAACGATGCAGCTCCTTGTAACTAGGGCAGTCTTTGGTAGAGGCTGGGATTAGCTAACCTGGATGGGACCAGTGCAGTGGAGGAAGGCGTCGATCCTCACACCTGGGATTGGGAGAACCTTTGTCCATTTGATCTGTTCATTTACTCTGTGGTTACCCACTTGGGCCACATGTCATCTTTCCGCCT